CTGTGAGGGAGCGCTGCCAGGCGACTGCCAAGGTCCTCGCGGATTGGCGGGAATATGTCCACCCCGACAAGTGGCACCACCTTCGCCTCCGACACCGCCTCGATTCGCCCGTCCAGGAGGCACCATGGCCACGACGGCGTCACACTCAGAAACGTCAGACGCCATTCAGGGCGCCATACGATGAGCACGTTGAGCTGCTGGGGGCCTGGTTATCGGCCGATGGTTCAGGATCATACGATTTGGGCAGACGTCTCAAGGCTGCTCGGAAGCTGCGGTACCAGGTCTATCGGAGGCTGCCGCGCTTGGGCCTCACACAGAGAGACAAGGGGCGCGTCTTCTGCACGACGGTCGTGGCCTCCCTGTTGTACGCGTCCGAGACCAGGCCGTTCCTCGACAGGGAGGCGCCGTGCTCCAGCGCTTCGTGGACAGGTGTGTGCGTGGCCTGACCCTCAGCGAGCATTTCCGCATTCGAGACATGAAGGGCCGCTTCACGATGGCGGACTTGCGGAAACGTGCTGGCGTGCCGTCCATCCCTCGCCTATTGGGCAAGAGGAAACTGGGCTACTTGGGGCATCTGGCTCGCTACCCGGCCTCGCGGATCGAGCAGAGGGTGGCGTTCGGCGTCCTGGAGCCGGAGGGCAGACACCTATACGCAGCAAGCAGTGCCATTCGCTGCTGCAGGAGCTGCTGGCCTTCGCAACTGAGGAGGAGCGCGCTGAGGGCTGGCTCGCCGTGGCTCAGCGGCGGGATCGATGGCGCGAGCTCGTGTCCAAGTGGGAGGAGCAGGCGGTGGTGAAGGAGGAGTCCGACTGCCATGCTGTCCGCCACGCCGCCCGGGACGCGCAGGCTGCGGCAGACATCCCTGCGCCTCTGCTGCCGCCAGCAGCACCCGTTCGACGGCGGCTGCGGGGCAAGCAGTCCCCGGCGGCGGCGCTAGCAGCGCGCCCACCGTCGAGCCGGCAGACGCGCCCAGACGACCTTAGCGAAGTGCTGCAAGCCCCTGTGATGCCGGCTCCAGCGCCCAAGCGCCATGCCTCGGCGTGGCAGGTCGAGAAGATTCCGCGCGAGCTCTGCCAGACACTCGTCCAGCGGCGGAACCTGCAGCAGCATCTCCGCTTTTATTGTGCCGCTCGTCGAGATACTGGTGACGCCCCAGCAGTCCGAGCCCTCCGTCCAGGTCGTGGTCGAGGGCGTGGTCGTGGCGCTGGGCGCGGAGGCCGTGCTGCTGACCGTGCTGTGGTTCAAGAGGAAGGAGGACGAGGAGGAGGACCACGAGAAGAACCCCAAGGAGGAGGGCGACACCAGGGAGGGCCTCAACGAGAACCCCAGGGACCCCACGCACGAGGAGGACAAGAACCCCAGGGAGGAGGGCGACAACAGGGAGAAGGAGGAGGGGGGGGACCACGAGAAGGAGGACAAGAACCCCAGGGAGGAGGGCGACAACAGGGAGGGCCTCAACGAGAACCCCAGGGACCCCACGCACGAGGAGGACGAGGAGGGGGACGAGCAGAGGGACTTCTTGGGCATCGGGATCTGGATCGTGGTGCTGATTGGGTGCCAGATGTACTCGTGGGGCGCGGTCCACAGATGCCTCCCCGAACCGATGGACGACGAGACCGGGATAGGAAGTGCCGTTTCTGTGGTCTTACCCAGGCGCAGTTACATTCTCATGAGCCGATGTGTTCCCAGATGCCCTTTGAGTTGTGGCGCGCTCTCAGTCTTCGGAGGTGCGTTCTTGCCCACTCTCCAGAAGAAGTTGCGTCTTGGCCGTTGCATTGTGTGCAGTGTGGGACCCCCTTTCAAATCGTCTAATGCTCGCAGGGTTCACACATCATCTTGTACTCAGCGAGCCACACGAGCCAATCTGCCTCCACGCTGCTGCATTTCTTTGTTCACAGAGGCTCAGACGGCCGCTCGGGTGTCCCACGTTCGCCAGTTGCTCGCGGCACAGGGTAATGCAGGGCATTTTGCAGCAGATCCACTCCCAGGCGCCGGCGGCGCCGGCGGCGGCAGCCGGAGGAGGCGCGCAGCGGCAGCAGCTCAGCGTGGTGAGCGCGCTGTGCCTGCTGGCGATCCGGCACGACCGTCAGCTGCAGGAACTGGAGGACATGCACTCGCTGGCGGTGCTGGTGTACAGCCACGAGGTGAAGCAGCTGCTACAGGAGGACCGCAAGGTGTGGAAGGCGGCCGTTCCCGAGGGCGGCGGCGGGCACCCGACGGGAGTGAGCCTGCGCAGCCTGGCCTTCGCCCGGGTCGTCACGCAGCTGCGGTTCCGGGTGTGCAAGGCGGCGGACCGCGAGACGGCCGTGCCGGCAGAGCCCCCAGAGCCGGCCGCTCCGGGCACGCCGCCGGCGGAGGCGCCCCCCCCCCCGACGCAGCCACGCAGGAGTTCCAGTCGGCGCAGAGGGCGCTGAAGGCTCTCGCGAGTATGGTGTCCCAGGACATCGACCGCAACGTGCGCCGCTTCGCTCCGAAGCACCAGGAGCCGCTGATGGAGGAGGAGCGCCCGTGGGTGTGGACGTTGTGTGTGGCGCCGGCAGCCACGCAGGCGTTCTACGACGCGATGCTCGTCATCTTGAGCCCGGGCGTGTTCTACAGGAGCATCAAGGTGGTGCCCCGGAGGTCGATCGACGGCCCCCTGGTGAACCGCCTCCAGGACGCGCTGCAGGAGGCTGGCGTGCAGGCGGGCGCGGCCAAGGGCGGCGGCAAGGGGAACAAGGGCGGCAACCGCGGCAGGCGCCGCGGAGACGGTGATGGCGGCGCAGGCTGCCAGGGGCGGCAGCGACAGGGCTGATGAGAACGGCCGCTGGGCCAGGTGGTGCAGATGGAGCTCCGCGCGTGGCTGGCGCGCCCCCTCCCTCTGACTGCCCTTCGGGGCCAGGGGGCGCGCCCGGGGGTTTCGGCCCCGCCGGGGGTTCCGGCCCCGCTGCGGGCCCAGGCTCGGGTGAGTCTCCTGTGCGTCGTAATCCACGAAGTTCTCCGTGCAGGCCAGCAACATTTTTCGTGCTCATGGTTGTCGGGACTCTCGGCTTCGACATAGAGTATCCCTTCTATAGTATCATCTTCCGCTCATGGTTGTCGGGATGGCCGGTTTCATTTTTGAGCGCCCTTAAAGAATAGCATATTCGTGCTTATGGTTGTTGGGACGGCCGGTTTCTGCATTGAGTGCCCTTCTCTAGTATCATCTTCGTGCTCATGGTTGTCGCGAGGGGCGGCTTCTTCATAGAGTACCACTTCGGCGCCGACGTGGCGCACCTCTTCTTCGGCTACCCCACCCTCGTCTATTTCTTCGTTGCTTTCTTCCTCTACTGGCTCCTCCTCTTCTCCTTCGTGATTCTCGTGAATGCCCTCCAGGACCGGGTGGCCCTCGACTGCTACGCAGGGAGCTCCATGGTGATCTCCCCGAGCACGGCCGCGAAGCCCGCCAGCATTTCAATAAACCATGCTGCGGTGCACGCTGAAATGCGCCCGTGCTTTGTAGCGCCAACCTTCACGACAGGGGGCGAGGAGGAGGAGGAGGAGATGGAACTGGCTGAGGAGGGAGGAGGGAAGAACGTCGCATTCGATTATCCTCACTTTCCTAACGTGGCGTTTAGCTGTCCGAAGCAGATTATAACGTACATGCTCCTTCTACCTGTCGTATGCACGCACGCACTGTGGTATACACCAGCGATGCGTCGCACGCGGATGCTGTGGTGTAGACAGGCGCTGTGGCGTGCACAGGCGCTGCGGAGCACACAAGCACTGTGGTGTACAGAGTCGCCGTGTTGCACATGGTTGCTGCGGTGTACACATGTACACCGGCGCTGTAGTGTACGCTAGCACTGTGGTGTACACAAGCGCTGCGTTGCACACTGTTGTTGCGGTGTACGCAGGCGCTGCGGTGTACACGCGCGCTGTGGTGCAGGCGAGTGTTGTGGTGTACGCAAGCGCAGTTGGGCAGATCGCCACCTACATGCTGCTCGCGTCGTCGTCGTCGTCGTCGCTCGTTTCGTCGTGCGCGCGGGCGCGGCTGTGGTGCCAGAGCCACACGGGGGGGGGGGGGGGCGTTACGTCATACTCCCCCCGCCCCCCCCCTTCATGACGCCCGTCGTCGCCGAACATAAAGAAACGCGTTCCATGACACGCGTCCGTGGATAGCGAAAAGAGCAGCGCAAGTGGAAGGGATGGGTGGGATTGGCAGGATGTCAGATAGGGCGTGTACGCACCCAGCTTGGTCCCACCCCTTTTCCAATTATCCCTCCTGCTTTCTCCCAGCTCCTCATCCTCACATCAGTCTCCTCATCCTCACCTCCTCCCCCTCCAGAGAACCAGTCTGGACACGCACCCCAGGCGAGGCGCCACCACCCCGCACTCGGAGCCGAAACCCTGAATACGACATGGCCCCGCAGCGCCCCCTCAGTGCGCATCCCTCCGGACGACGGAGGAACAATTCTCCAAACGAGGGCTGCCTCGAGATGCGAACCCGTCCGCCTCTCTCTCTCTCTCTGTCTTTCTCTCGCTCTCGCTCTTTTGCGAGAGAGTGAGAGAGGGAACAAAAGAGAGAAAGAGAGATAGAGAGAGAGACAGGGAGAGAGGGAGAGGGGCGGGAGCGGGAAGTGCCAGAAGCGGAGGAGCACGGGAAGGCCATTTTGGAAGGAGAGGAGTTGCGAGAGGGGGGGCGGAGGAGGAGGGGGGGGGGAATGTGGAGGGGGGGAACCTGGGGAGGGGTGGAGTGGGAGGGGCGGAGCGGGGGGAACGAGAAGGGACGCGAACGAGGAAGATCGGAGGGGGGAGGTGGCAGCGGGGAATGGGAGGGGAGCAGGGGGGACGGGAGAAGCGGGGCGGGAAGGTGGAGGCAAAGGAGGAAGCGGGGGAAGGGGGGAGTCGGGTTGTGGTGGTGGGTGGGGGGGGGGGGCGGAGAGGGGGTCAGGGCGAAGGGCAGGGGCAGGCAGGGTGAGGTCGAGGGGAGAAGCTGGGGCGTGCGTCCGCTCGCTCGCGAAAGACGGGGGCCCGGGGAGAACTGCATCGCCGCAGCGGCGCTGGCCGCCATCAAGAAGGACCCAACGCGCCCCGCCCGACCCCTCCGGGCCGGGCGGCCTCTCTCCGGCGGGGAGGTCGCGGGCGGCCACGGGGGGGTGCTGACCAGGTCACTAGGTGGGGGGGGGACCTCATGGCGGGGGGTTCATGAGAACTCCCCGTATCTCAGGGCCCACTCTTCCTTCGGGCGTCGGGTGACGGGGGTGCGATGAATGGGGGGTGAAGAGGGGTGCATTTTTTCTGCCCTTCTCGCCACCACTCAGTAATGAACGCTCGATTCGTCTTACGGAGTGTCCCGTGGTCACCCTTTCTCCGCGCACATGCCTCGGGCCATGAGTTGCGACACCCTTGTCTTGGACGCTCTCGCTCTCCTCCTGGCCGCCCCCGAAGAGGGGGGATGGACGAAGGCCGGGCGTCCCGACGTTCCCGTCGAGGATCTGGTCGAAACGAGCCCTTGCGGAGGTCTAGGGCTCGTTTTCTTTCGAAAGGGAGGAGGAGGCGGAGGAGAAGGAGGGCGAGGAGAAGGAGGAGGAGAAGGAGAGGGAAGGGTAAGGAGGAGGTGAAGGAGGAAGAAGAAAGAGAGGGAAGAGGAGGGGGAATGGGAGGAGGAGGAGGATCGAGGGCGGAGGAGGGACGAGGGGGGAGGAAGGAGGAGGGAGGAGGGAGGCGGAGGAGGAGGAGGAGGAGGAGGAGGGGGGAGGAGGGAAGAGGGAGGAGGGAGGCGGAGGAGGAGGAGGAGGGATAGAGGCGGAGGAGGAGGGGGGCGGATCGGAGAGACTCGGCCGGCGGGCGTAAGAGTGCCACGGCACCGCCGAGGGACGAAGAGGAGGCGCAGCGCAAACGTCTGCCTGTGCCCACGTCCGTGCTCACACTCAAGCGTTATGATGCTCCAACCTACCTTAGCCTTGATCACCAGAAAGAATTTCGAGCGCCAACAAAAGCACCGAAACTCAAGGGTGTTCACGTGTCGGACCCTGGGAGACACTCGCCCGACACTGTTTCGACACTGCTTCGACACTCTTTTGACACTTTTTTCGGGTGCTCGAAATTATTTCTGGGATGTGGCCCTTAAGTGGGATGGGAACAACATAACTCAAGCAGTGGCGAATCGTCCTGGCTCGCCTACAGACCCAACAAACATGTTCTAAGAAGAACCATGTGTGGTTTGCACGAAATGTTCTTAGAACATTTCTGGTTGGGAGTGTTTTGTTTTATCACATCGGGCTTATGCTCTAAGACCATTGTTTTCGCTCGTGGAAAATTGGGGTTCTAAGAACATTTTGTGGTAGGACTATAGGAATGCCGGGACGGTCGGTCCCTGCTCAAACGTCCGTGCTCACACGGCGTTGCGCAGTGACCATGGTTCACGATGCCGATGAGGGCGAGGACGAGGAGGAGGAGGTGGCTTTACGTCGGGCCTGTCCCTCTACAGGAGGAAAATTCAAAAATTATCCAAGAATAGTCCGGGGACGATGTTTAGAATATGTCTGACTATGTTTGGATATGTTTGTTTGAATATTCTTAATTCTTCGCCAAAGATCCGCCTGTAGGGGAACATGCCCGACCTAAAGGTGGCCTTGTGCTCCCCCTTCGCCCTGTCAGTAGGCGCGCCAACGAAAAGACATCGGACATCGGCATGCCGGCAGGCGCCCCGCGGAGACGTCTCGTCCCCCGATGGCCCCTATGACGCTGTGGGGCGGCTTACAGTGCGAGCGCGGCCGCAAGAAACCCTCGCAAGAAATCCAAGCATGAAAACCCGCGCGCGAAGTGCACAGGAGGGGAAACCTAGAGCACTTTGAACGCAGCGGTTCCTTCAACGGCTGCGGGAAGTCACCGCGCAGCGCGAGGAGCGAAGAAACCCAGGATACCCTGACGAAAAGCACATGGTTTCTTGATGCGCGCCCCCACAGTATGACACTCAAAGGTCGACGATTCATGTACCCAAGCATATCATGTGGCAAGACTTCTGTATTCGCGCCCGTTCGGTCGTGGCCGCGCATGCGCGCTGGCAGAGCGGGTCCGAAGCACATGCTCATCGGGTGCTTTGCTGCACGTTGCGTCCCCTCCGTGCGCCCTGCCAGGTACTCCGCGGAGGTGGACAGGCTTACCGTGAGCACGGAAGTGTTCCGCTCTGCCTCGACCGCGCGGCCACTCTTCTCTCCATGCTTGCAACCGCGCGCAAACAGCAGGCAGTCCGTCTATTGGATGGGTGGGCTCATTGGAGAGGCCTTACGGCCGGCACCGCCGACCCTGAGCGACGACGACGGCGACGACCATGACGACGACGACGACGACGACGACGACGACGACGACGACGACGACGACGACGACGACGACGGCGGCGGCGACGGCGACGGCGACGGCGACGGCGACGGCGACGGCGACGGCGACGACGACCGCGACGACGACCACGACGACGACGGCCACGACGACGACGACGACGACGACGACGACGACGACGACGACGACGACGACGACGGCCACGACGACGACGGCCACGACGACGACGACGACGATGACGACGACGACGATGACGACGACGACAACGCCCCGGGATTCCCCTGAGGGGTGGTATTCATCCGGACCCCCCCCCCCCCCAGACCCCGTCATGGGACCCCCCCCCCGGGACCCCCCCCCCCTCGGGGCGGGGAAGGGGCTGCCCTTCGATTTAGTCTTAACGTCCGTCACTGTCGTTTCGGCTGGAACGTTGGAAGGACTCAGGGAAAAGACGGGGACTGGTGACGGCGACGGCGACCGCGACGACGACGACGACGCACGCTGAGAGGGTCGACGGATTTGGGCACTCCTGGATCCTTCAGAGGTCGAACAAGCAAGGGAGGAAAAATCACACCGACCCCCATAACCAGCGTTTGCTCAGCGGCACTGGGCGTTTGCTACACAGCCCCGCCCTGGGTGCGTTTACTAAATGTCTCGGTTGTCGAGGTGTTTTTCTGGTGATAGTCTGCTGCCTGAAGAGGGCGCATGCGGAATAATGCATCATCACGAATTTTTGGAGTTCCACGCGTATTTCTCGGATCGGCGTCAGGCCCCCTTGGCGCCGCCTCCGGCTCCGCCCCTGGCGCTCTTCGCGCGCCAGGGGGGGGCCCAGCGCCGATCCAAGAAATCCGCGCGGAACTCCGACAGGTCATTCGTTTCAGTGGTTCTCGTTCTACTCGTAAGTCGGGCGTGTCCCTCTACAGGAGGAAGATTCAAACATAGTTTGAAAAGTAGTCAGGGGACGTCTTGGTTTGGTATTTTTGGCATTCCTTGAATTTTGCCTGACTCTGTTTAATTTTTCGCCCAAAGTTCGCCTATAGGTGGACATGCCCGGCCTAATTCTACTCGGGCACGCCCGCATCGTTCGCAGGGCAGCCCCGCATCCCTTCCCATCCCGCAGGAGGGAGGGGGCGCGCGACGCACGGGCCTAGCCCCCCCCCCCCCGCGGCCGATTCTCGCTGCGCTTGTGCCCTCAGCCTCGCTGATTTCAAAAATCGGAGCGTGAATTACCTACCCCGCTTTCGCTTCCAGGCAAAACCAAGTCATGCCACGCGCCTCCTTGTCAAGCGGCCTGACCAGTACAGGCCGTAGTTTGGCATCGCTTGGTATCTCTTGGAAGCGAGGGTGGTCAAAAGTGAGGTAGGTTTGGTTTCCCATTAAAAAACGCTGGGGATGTTTACATGGCAATTATCAAGACTCTGATCATTATTAACATGACCATTACGATTAGCAATAGTATTGAAGTTCCTCCTCCTCCTGCTCCTGCTCTTGCTCCTCCTCCTCGTCCTCCTCCTCCTCGTCCTCCTCCTCCTCCTCCTCCTCCTCCTCCTCCTCCTCCCAAGATCGACGTTTTCTTTCAGTTTTGGGCACCGTTCCTGTCACGTGTTCGGGTCCGGGACCGGCCCGTGGCCCCTCTTGCTGGCGTTTGCTGCTCGCTGTTGTACCGGGTGTTCAAGAAGTTTCTGTTGGCATCACGGATGCCGACTGTCTGACGTCCGCATTCGGGATGTAGTTTTTAACGCGTTTCGCTAGAGTCGCAAGTGAAAGGTGTAAAAAAAAAAAAACCTCACATGCGTTTTTAAGAACAAATAAGGCCTCTGGGACTGTCACGGGGTCCGAGGTATGGGCAGGACGGGAGCGGGTGGCTCCTGGTGCCGTGCTATACGCGTTCAAGGTTGGCTTTGATTGAATGGTAAGGCGATGGCGCCCCTGGGAAGCCAGGAGGGATATCCGAGGGCGCAACGCTAACGATTGGACCGGCCAGCAAACGGGCGACAGCTATGTAGTAGAACAGGTTGTGTTTGCTCGGCGCATTCGGGCCAACGTTGCTCACGAAGTCGACCCCATTCACAGACGGAGTGCTCCTGTGCCCCGCCGAACGCTCCCGGAGGAACGGCGGCGAGCACTGCGGCAATCCCCACACTGCGCAACGGCAGCTGTGGGCGACAGGGTGGACCGCTGGGGAGACAGCGAGTGCCGGCTGGACAGCTCAGGGCCCGAGTCGCAGTGGTCACGGAATGGTGCACGCACTTGCTGATCTGCCGCCGCGTGGGGAGAGGGAGCAAGAGGCAGCGCCGGTGCCCGCGGAGCTGAGGTGCTTGTCAATGGCTCCAATCAGCAGAGAGGGGGGGGGGGAGGCCATGACCGTCCGGATCTGCGCCTCTTCCTCCTCCTCCTCCTCCTCCTCCTCCTCCTCTTCCTCCTCCTCCTCTTCCTCCTCCTCCTCCTCTCCAGGCCATGGCCAACAGAAGCTCAGGGGAGGGGCGAGGCGGAGAGGCAGGGAAGCGGAGATGGCCAGGGAGGAGCACCGGGGGAGGGATCGGGGTTCAAGAGACGGGGGTCAGTGCAAACGTTGAGTCGGGCTTGTCCCTCTACAGGAGGAATATTCAGAAATAGTGAAAAAATAGTCTGGGGACTCTTCTTTGACTATTCTGAGGCATTTGGGGAGTATTTTTGATGGAGTATTTTTAATTTTTCTGGCAAAATCCCCCTGTAGGGAGACAGGCCCGACTTAATGTAAACAGGGTCAGCCAGAGCACCGGGTCTTGCAGGACCCTTTCGGCCACGCGCAGAGGGGGGGAAGGGGGAAGGCTTCTTAGAGGCACCCTTGCTTCTTAGAAGGCGCGGGCTTTGTCTATAGATGTAAGGCCCGCGCCTTCTAAGAAGCAGCCTCCTTTCAGAAGCCTTCCCCCCCCTCTCCCATAACCTCTCGTGCGCGCCGTCATTTGTTCAAGGCACACGCTGCTGAAGGCAAGTCTGTTTGCGGTTATGAGCTTACTGGAGGCAGAGCAAAATGCCTTCAAAAAGCGCTTTGTCTTCATATTCCGTTTCGCCTTCGAGGCTGGAGGGTCGAGTCGCCACGGTGCCCCGGAACAGGTTCACGAGCTTCTCCTTCCTTGTTGGCTTGTTCCTCGCCTTTAGGGCGTCCCAGGCACCGCGCCCGCCCGCCGAACTTGCACCTCTTCGACCATGCACAGCGACCCATGATGCGGATATCCTAACTCCCGCGCCGTGAGCATGTTGTTGACCATGTACAGCTTCTGGGGGGCCCGACAGGGCCCCAGGATGTTCATCAAACGATTGAGAATTACAAAAAAACGGTCCCAGAAAAAAGGTCGAGACCTCGGGGGGTCAACGTTGCGAAAAGAATACCGACGGCGGGGGGTCTGGGATGGATGCTACCACTCGTGGGTAAGTACAGAGATATATCTATCCGTAGGTTTACAGACGAACGTGCTTACAGATGTGCATGCACATGTGCATTCGATATATATATATATATATATATAGGCGAAGCTTCACCATACCCTGGTTCGCCTTATCGGCGAAGATTGACTGGTCTCACCCACGGGCAACGCATGTGAGTCTTGATGGTTCGTTCTGGTGCCGTTCCGTCCCGGTCCAAACCCAAGACAGTTCGCCGTTTGGGCCGTGCTCCAATATTCGAAGCTGGCTCTGCAATCCCAATTTCTCCCCGTCCGTCATCTGCCCAACGCCGCAACCTCTGTCTTCTCAGCCACTCGCTCCTTTCGGGGTGGCGGCGGCAGTGGCGGTGCCGAAACGAGCCCAGAGTACCACAACAAGGAATGAGGGTGCAATCCCGACTTGTCTGGCTGATGCTCTGGGGAGGGTATGTTCTCAGAGGAGGCTGCAGCACTGGTCAACGATGTGTTGTCAACCAAACCTCCGAGGTGGGCCGTTTTCTTCTTTCCGAACCATCTTGTGGTGTTGGGTCCTCGTTTTGAAGAGACAGCGCCCCGCGTTCCTTCCTCCTCTCCTCCTTCTCCCCCTCCCTCCTCTCCTCCCTGGCTCCGGTCTCCGCATGCCCACCATTTCGGCACACCCCTCTCGAGGATCGCGGCCCCATAGGGAGCTCCACCGAAGGCCCCAGCGGCACAGGCCGCATGCGCCCGACGCCGCAGTTTTTGGCGCGCACGCACACAAACACGCACACACACACACACACACACACACACACACACACACCACACCACACGGTTCGCGGCCCCACAGGGAGCTCCACCGAAGGCCCCAGTAGCACAGGCCACATGCGCCCGACGCCCATTTTGGCACACCCCTCGCACAGTTCCACCGAAGGCCCCAGTGGCACAGGCCGCATGCGCCCGACGCCCATTTTGGCACACCCCTCACACGGTTCGTGGCCCCACATGGAGCTCTACCGAAAGCGGTCCCCACAACGCGGTATTCACAATTGCGCATGGTGGGGTCTTTCGCCAGGATAATTGCTCTGTGCATTTCAGCTTTGGTTTTGGCTTCAATTGTGGGTGCACCGCGAAGCGCCTTCGGGCCAGCTCACCCGAGCTGGCGTTCTGCTCACATAGGTGTTTCTTTCCCTCTCTAGTTCCCTTCCTGATGTGTCAGCCCCCCACCCCGGAGTCTCCCAGAAACGTTGGGGATCATTTGGGGGTTTCTTGGGGAGCTCCTGGTAGCCTTCGTCACGCACTTGCGTGCGGTCGGGGCCCCGAGAAGGGGCCTGTCAGGGTCTTGGGGTCATGTTGTGGGAGGTGGCCTCCAGCCGTGCGACAGTGGCTTGGGGCCGATCTGGGGCCGCCTTGGGGGCCCCTCGGGGCCCCTCTCGAGAACCTCTCGGTCACCTTGGGCTGGTCTTGCGGGGTTCTGGGGCCGTCTCTGGTCTTGGGCCGTCCTGGACGCTCTTCCGGCCGATGCGGCGGAAGTGCTGGAATCACGCAAGACCCAGAAGGAGTCAGTCGATGTGGACCTCTTGGGCCAGCCCCCGGGACCTCCAGGACGGCCCGCGAGGATCCCAAGGGCTTGCCGAGGTTGGTGCCGAGCGGCTCTGGCGAGCCCAGGAGGCCCAAAGACAGCCACAAAAAGGCCCCACCATCGCCCGAGAGCCACTGCAGGGAGGGCGAGGCTTCCTCCTCCTCCTCCTCCCTCCTCCTCCTCCTCCTCCTCCTCCTCCTCCTCCTCCTCCTCCTCCTCCTTCTCCTCCTCCCCCTCCTCCCTCCCTCCCTCGCTTCCTCTCGCTCCCTCGTCCCTCCTCCCTCCTCCTCTCTCTTCCTCGTCCCTCCTCCCTCCTCCCTCTCCTCCTCCTCCTCCTCCTCCTCCTCCTCCTCCTCCTCCTCCTCTCCTCCTCTCCTCCTCCTCCTCCTCCTCCTCCTCCTCCTCCTCCTCCTCCCCCCTCCCCCCTGGACACCCCTGGACACCCCTGGACACCCCTGGACACCCTCTCCCTGGGAGCCCCCCCAACCCTGACTGGGAGAGGATCGCACGGCAGGGTCCTCCTGTCGACTCCATGGCCACCTGGGCCGCTTCACCTCGGGCTGGCGAGCTTGGAGGGCCCCAGGTGGCCGCAGGGAAAGGAGGGGTAGGCTTCGGATGGGACAGCGTCTCCCAGGACCACCCCTGGACGACCACCCCAGGGCGGCCTCTCGCACACGCCGACAGGGGCGGCGGAGCAAGTTTGCAAGGTATCCCCCATAGGCCCCACATGGCCGCGACGTGTGGCGTTCTCTCCTGCAGGACCTCTGCGGACGTGTTCGTTCTCCAGTGGGAAGGCATGCAGTGCTTGATCGATCGTCGTCGCTTGACATCCTGTTTCGCGACCAACGACTGCATGTGCGGCAAATGCTGCCACCGTGCCAGCGCAGCACTCTGTGTCGCGACCCCATCGAGAGACGCCCACACTGCTCCAGTTGAAAGCCGCAGCTGCTTTGGCTCGACGGGGCTAAGCGCAGTTCGGCCTCAGTGTTTAGCTCACGTCTGCCGTGCCGCCATGGCCACAAGCCAGCCTCTTCTCCAGAAGCCTGCCGCCTCCAAGCGTGCCAAGCTGTCCGTGCTGTATGGCGCGGATGAGTACCTTGAGGAGTTGAAGAGGAAGTACGAGGTAGACCACGAGATTGCCAGCTTGAAGGCCATCATGCCAGACCAGGGCGACCCTAATGCTGGGAAGGCCCAGGAAGGCGAAGGCAAGATGCTGCGGATCGAGAAGGACGACGCCAACAGGAGCAAGAAGACCGGCCGACTGTTCCCGACCCCGAACAAGCCGGACCCCATGCCACCTGAGCTCGCGTTTCTCTTCACGAAGATCACGCCTGAGCAGATGATGTACATGTGGAACATCCTGACGCTCATCTTCGTGTCCCAGTGCGCGATGGTGGTGGCCTACTGCGCCGCATTGGCGTGCTTCCCGGACTACTGGTGGACGTGCACGCTTGCCTTCGGCGTCCCCTTCGCCTACATCGCAATCCAGAACATATACATCGATCACGATGTGATGCACGGAGCCACGTTCCCTCCACACGACTGGCAAGAGTACATCACGCATCCCTTCAGCGATTTCTTCTCGCTGCCCTGGAAGGAGTTCGTGCTCGAGCACAATCGCCACCACGCGAGCACCGTGGACCTCCTGCAGCAGGGCGAGTTCGGGTGGGATCCCGAGGAGTTCCAGTACTGGCTGCTGGAGTGGACATGGAGGCACGGGAAGTACCCCTTCCCCATCCACCCCTTCGGCCTCCTGCTCACCGGCGCGCTGCTGCCGTTCATCCACTTCGTGGGCCTGAACGACACCGGGGCCCTCTTCGCGCTGGAGTGGTACTTCCACTTCCCGGACGAGGGTGCCGGGGGCAAGTGCAACAAGGAGTTCTGGAAGAAGTGGCTGCCGCGCCGAGCTCAGCACTCGCTCTTCGTCGCGAGCCTCTGGGCGTGCGTCTGGCTCCTGGGCACCTGGCCGCTGGGCCGCCCGCTCAGCGAGGGCTGGCGCTTCATGCTCACCGTGTCCTTCTTCGCGCGCTGCGGCTTCTCGGCCGCGTGGATGTTCATCACCAACTTCACCCACTCGCACCCGTGGAACCACTTCCTGGCGAAGGACCCGGAGCGTCAGTGGCCCGTGCTGCACGACGTCATGGCCTTCGTGCTGGGCGGCAAGCACCGCTGGAACGAGATGCTCTTCCACGACCTCCACCACGCTTTCCCCAACGCGGTGGGCACGCTGAGCCAGCGCGGTCGCTTCCACGGGTGGCAGAAGGTCCACGACGCCTCCGTCGAGGTGTTGGCCCGTGGTCTCTGGAAGGCCAACGGTGACGAGGAGACAGAGATGCAGAAGACGCAGCGCAAGCGGTCCCTGCTGATGAAGACCAACAGGAAGTGAGGCGCGCCACTCTTCCGACCCGGAGGCGCGTGCAGCCTCGGGGTCTCTAATTCGGGGAGCTGCCCGGCGCACACGTCGCAGTCCTGACGCAGCGCCCGGCGGCTGGCCTCGTCGGCTTCCCCCCGCTTTTCACACGTTGAGTTGCCCGGACGCTCCGCTGGGTGCTGGCAGTCTCACAGTCGGTTACAAGGCAGCTGGTCCGGGATGGCGTCGCAGACGCCTGCGGACCCAGCCGCGGCGCTCAAGCAAGAGTGTCTTTTTCGTGTTCCAGCGAGTGCCGCCCGAGGCAGCTGGGCCTTCGGTGGATGTAGTAGCGTGTGCTCTCCGCGTGTCTCCACGTCATGTTTAGCCCGTGAGTGCATCGCGTGTCGATGGGGACCACCAGATCTCCCTACGACCCTTTGCTGACCCGGATCGCACAGTGCCCGCCCCGAGTATCATCGCGTGCGCGCTCTTCGACCTCGCCAATGCCGAGGGAGGGACAGTCTCTTGCAGAGGCCTTCCCGCGCGGGTTCCGCCGGCCCTGAGAATTGAACAGATTGGGCGCACGTGGCGGAAGGGGGACGGGGGCAAAGGGGCAGAGGCGGCTGAATGCGAGGGCGCACGATCGAGTGCTCCTGATGTGGCCCATCCCGCCATGGGTTGCGGCTGAGTCGTGTGCGAGAAATTTTGGGGCTGCTGGGTGGGATCCTGGAGGGGTTCTCGGGGGGCTCCTGGGTGCCTTTGTGGTCCACTTGGGTGCGGTTGGGGCCTTTTAGAGGCCTCTTCGGGGTCTTGGGGTCATGTTAGAGGGGTTGGCT